TAACACCCTCAACATCGATGTGGAGGCGCTTGAAGCGTATGCGTCGCACTTTCCGCAATGGAAATGCTGCTACATTGCATTGGTGCCAGACAAGGAGACGTGCGATGGGTTTCGGCTTTCTCCAGTCGAACCTCACACCCGTGTGCCGCTGAAGGTGGCATACATGCCAGCCTGGAGCGCCTTTGTAGCCACAAGATAAAAAAGTACTAGTAATCTCTAAAGACTGTTGCTTTCGAATTACTACGTAGTACTATTTAGGACTGTTTCGCATATTCGAAGTATTTGCATACAGCGTTGAGGATGCCAGGATGGATGGTTTGAGTTACTGTTCTGCCTCACTCACCAGATTGAATACATTACTCCGAAGTCACCTAAGATGAGCATGGCTGGGCCTTGTCGCTTGACATCAACCTCCACCTATTGATGCATGGCCATCGTGGGCTTTGTAAAGTTATGTCGAACTACCTTCGACCACGCAAGCCATAACCATCCTTTTCAAATACTACAGTAACATGGAACCTTGTCGCAGCGCCATAGTGCGTGCAGGGATTACGCCACGATGTCGTCAACGCAACTGCCTCCAAGGCGGCCTTTCCATATTGTTGGACTGGACGCACGCGACACCGTCACCCTAGCAGATATCGTGGGCCGACTAGTACATACTAGAAGCCAATCGATTTACTCGCATTCGTGTTAGGTTTTGGCAATACTATTAATACTAACTTACTCGATGACTTCGGCAGAGACAAAAATGGTCAGGGCACTGAGGGCAACGACTAGGACCGCTAAAAAGACCGACTTGTAGGCATAATCGGTCGAGTCTTCGAGCTTGGCGCGCTGGCTTTCAAGGTGCACAGCTCCTTGCGACTCTGGATCTGCTTGACGAGATGCTTCAGATCCGAGTAGTTGACGTAATTCTCCTCCCATTCCGGCACGATGTTGTGTGTTGTGCTTGAACATGAGGACCTCAAGTCGACCAATGGACGGGTAGCAGCGACGTCGACGGAAAGCAGTCGTGTCGCACAAAATGCTCGCTTCAAGAATGCAGGAAAATAATGTGACAAGTTTCAAGGTTCGAATTACAGTACCACACTATTTTGCATGCTTCAACGTACCACAACAATAAGTCAATGTTGTAGCTGGACAGGGGTGACGCTGAAGAATGCATGTAGTAGTACCCGTGCACTGGCTGCATTATCCAACTACTTCTGTACCGGCATACGCGTTATGTCTAATACACGAAGCAATTCCAGAATTAGTGCCTAATTAGTGTGGGCTTCACCTTCTGATAAGTCGCATACTGTGTGTCGTCTCGCTTGTCGGTGGCTTTCTTCTGCGGTTTGCGCTCAAAGTGCAGGGGAATGAATCGTTCCTTGCGGAAGCCCAGGGTATTACGCATGTGCTCGTTCTCCATAGCGAAGCAGCTCCACATGGACCGGGGCTCCATGAACAGGTCACGGGCTGGAATGACTAGTGTGTAGGTGGAATAATCAGGCCACCAGACTGTATGGATGTCCACGGGGGTTTCGGCGTTTCGGGGCTTTAGCGATGAGCATTCATTCGCGAACAACTCGAAGACCTGCGCTTCGACTTCGAGGGTAACATTGTAGCTCTACACCAAGACTGCGCTTCGACTTCGAGGGTCGTGACATTGTAGCTCTACACTACCGGGCTCAAATCTTAAATACAAAGCGCTTGTGCATGACCACCCACGGAAGTCACGTCGTTCGTTGGGGAAGCGATGTTCATACTGTATGTTTGGGCGGCGCGCAGGAGAATTTTGTCAATTTTTGTCCGTTTTTGCTCAAATTTTGAAGCTGCATTGATATGTTCAGGGGCAAGGTCTGTATAAAATTTGACTCCCTAAAGCACAATGATTGCAACGCAATTCAATGTTGAAATTTGGCAATGCAACCCAAATATCCATATATAAAATAGGTATCGGCTTTGAAATTACTTTGAAAAATTGTCAC